TTGTGTAAATCTCTCCAGATGTCCCTTGCCAGGTTTGAGCCCCAGGAGGAGCTCAAGTCTAATGAAATCCCTGAGGTGGACCTTGCTCAGCGTGTGGCACCCTTCCTGCTAAATGTTCCCGACCTCCTGTATCCCCAGAATACAGGATATCCTGCTCCAAAGCAGGAAGCTCCAAAGCAGGTACTCTTGCAGTCACCTCTGAGCTCATCTACAGAAGCCTTGACATTTAAAAAAAAAAATAAAAAATTAATAAATCTTGTGTTGAATATCTTTCCTTCAATAGACGGGTGATGTAGTGTGCCAGGACTGCATCAAGTTCCTCTCTGATGCTCAGGCTGAAGCGAAGGCCAACTCCTCCTTCATCAACTCCCTGATTCAGAACATTGAGCACCAGTGTGATATGTTGGGACCAGGACTGTCCGATATGGTAAAGACTTAAAATGCATCTATTTCATATGAATCCAAATTACCTGGAATACACACTTTGAACTGTTTTCTCATTGCAGTGCAAGCAGTACGTGGGACAGTACGGCCCTGCTGTTGTTCAGCAGCTGATGTCTATGGTGAGTCGTCTTTAGTGTTTAAGACCCACCTCCCTATGTTAACATGAATCTGATGCTTAGACCTCAGGACTAATGGCTGATTTGGTTTTTTGAGGTTGCTGAGCCCATGTTTGCTCCAATAGCAGCTTCATTTGTTTTTTGTTCAGTTTTTTTTACTGTATGATTTTATGTTTCCTTTTATTAATTTTTGCCTGTATTCCCCATTTACTTTTATCCTCTTCATCCATGTCATTCTGTTCTTTCCCTCTTTTACCCCCTGTGTTTATTTGCTGCCCCCCAGGAACAGGTAGGTCACTCTGTGTTCAGCCTGTAGTCTTCTAACCTCTAATTCTTCTACCTGCTCTTGGGAAGTCCATTTCTTGCACTAAACACTTGCCACTGATGCATGAGAATAGTTGTTTCACACAGCTGAACAGTTTATCTCAGAACTACTCACTACTCAACATCACGTTAAATGACCACAGTAAAAGTTTCTTTTGCTTCCACACTCACTTCAGTTGTGCAATGCAGGGGCATCTCAAATGTTAGTGATGGAATTCAAAAAGTGAAACTCTTGTTTATATTTGTAATGGTGATTTTGATAAATACATTTTGGTTTTTATTTTGATCATTGCTCATGATTGCTTTAAAAACCCAAAACTAGTTTCTCAAAAAAATTGCAAAAGACCAGTACTGCAGTTTATTTGGTCAAGGCTCCTCTTGCATGAATTGCATCAGGAACTTAATGCGACATTGCACTGAGTTCAGTGATCTTTTTAAGTTTTTTTTTTTTTTCATTCCAGCACATTGAACAGCCAGCTGTAATTCAGATTGAAGAGCCAATTCACATGTTAATTCAGTCAAATTGAGAGTCAAGTATGCAATACAACTTATTTTGGTGCTCAAATGATGCAGATGCATGCAGTTAATAAACTGGTTAAAAATTTTTTATTTTGTTTGACAACTCAGCTCTGGGAGTCATTTACTCCCTGCATTCACTTTCATTCAGCTTCTCTCATGGTTTACTATCCTTACTGACTGCCAGTGTGGTCATGTGGTTTAAACGCATTGTTTAAACCACAAAGTAAGCAGAACAGTTTCTGTAACAAAATCCTGCTGCGTTGGTCTAATGTTTAAATTTTCTGGGAAGCTGAATTTTGGATTTTTAATTTTTTGGGGGGCTGAAATCCATAAAAGAAAATTGGCACTGTGTGAAATCTACCTAGTGGAAGCTTTTCTTTTTAAATTTGGATCACTGATCTTGATCTCTTCAGTGAGATGCTCCTGTATATTCAAGTGGATTTGCACTTTGTGCTGAGAGATGCACTAATCTTCAGTTGGATAGTTATTAACACTATGGGTGTGTTTGGCACTGGTAAGATGGCTGCCGTAGGTGTTTGGATTAGTTTTGTGGTCTGTACTGTGTGCATAGTGCATGACTGGCAGTGTTGTGTAATGACATGTTCACATTCCTAACGGCATGCCCCCCAAGGCAGTGCTGCAAAAGACAGGACACTGTGTGCTAAAGTAATGGTTTACTTCTCTCCACAGCAACCAAAGGAGATCTGTGCTCTTGCTGGTTTCTGTCCGGAAATGAAGAAGTCTGTCCCCATGTTGGACCTTCAGCCTGCAATGGTCATCCCTGCTGCCAAAACCATGGTGGCTGCTAAGCTTTTCCCTGCCACCAAAGTTGAGGCTCCTGCTTCCAGGGTAGGTATTAGGAAGTGGATTTTAATAATTTCTGTTTATTTAAAAAAAAAAAATTAAAAATCACTTTTTCTACATAATTAAACATTAATCATATTGCAGCCGATGGTACGTGTCCGTGAGTCACCAACTTGTGCAATCTGTGAGTTTGTGATGAAGCAGTTGGAGTCCATGCTGGAGGATCAAACAACAGAGGTAGGAATGGATCAGGAGTTCTTCTACAATTAAACAGCTGCTGCCTAAATCCTGCATGTGTTTGGCTCTAATGTGTCTTACTCTTGTTTATGGTTTTAGGAGGAGGTTGTTCAGGCTGTGGAGAAGGTGTGCACATTTCTGCCCTCTTCTCTGACTGCCCAGTGCAAAGACCTGGTTGAGACGTACGGTCAGGCCATCATTGAGCTGCTGGTGCAGCAGGCCGACCCCAAGACTGTGTGCACAGTGCTGGGACTGTGCAACGGTGCTAGCCGCACATATATTGGTACATAGCCGCTTCTAAATATATGCATTGTATTTGCTTTGTTGATATGGGGAAGTATTAGGGGCACACTAAGAAAATAAAAATTGTAACGTTATGACTTTATTTTTTAGTATGACCTTTATTTGTGGTGTGGTCTGTTTAATGCAAACCATAGATATGCAAAACTGGGATTAAGGCAGTTCACCGTATGAAAATATGTTCTAGTTGCCCTGGACAAAGTTCGTTTTGAGGTTGGCGGCTACTGTGACGTGTGCAAGATGGCCGTGAGTTACATCGATGGCATTCTGGAGAAGAACGCCACAGAGCAAGAGATTGAGGAGGCTGTGAAGAAAGTATGCAGCTTCCTGCCTGACTCGTACAAGACAGAGGTGACTGTTGGTTTTAACTTTTTGTTCATTTGTTGTTTTTTTTTATATATACAAACATAACCTTGCATCCACCCTGTTGTAATGCCTTGATTGTGTCTGCAGTGTGACCAGCTGATTGAACAGTATGAGCCAGTCCTCATCCAGCTGCTGCTTCAGATGCTCGACCCGGACTTTGTGTGTACGGTAAGTAATTATTTTCTCTTGTGGGAGAGATGCACTTATAGTCAGATCTATTAAATATGCTATGGATTTTCATCAGTGTTGAAATTCAGTCTGAAATTTGCATCTTTTGTTACAGAAACTGGGAGCTTGCCCTGGAGCTAAACGTCATTTTCTAGAAATGTTGGCGTGCTCCCGGGGGCCTGACTACTGGTGCAAGGTCAAGGGAGCAGCAGAACTGTGCGGCGTAAGTACACAGATCTTTAACAGGATACTTTCGTGTTAACATTGTCTTTTTCTGGTTAATCCATAAAACTACTTGGATTAGAAAAAAACTTTAATTTTATACAAGATCTAATGTAAACACATTTACACTGAGTGTTGATGAGATTGAACTGGAAATTAACAAAATTTGGTGCAACAAAATCAAGTTTCTATTATACATTTCACTAAAATATAAGATTAATAGTAGTGGGTATAGATATAACTGATTAATTTTCATTAACATTGACATAAGAATTTAACACTGAAGTGAAAATTGGTTTCATTTGTGCTCAACCTGTATCCCCTGGGCAAAAATGCTACAAAAGGTTGCCATAAAAACATTATGCAACTTGAAAATGTGCTCAACTTTATGCCTAATCATAATATGCATGAAATGTTTTCTTTTACCAAGCTGTCCAATTAGTAAAGCAATTTAACAGATTGGTAAATTTGTAGTACAGGAGAAACTATCTTCAGCCTAAAAAAACGATGCATGATTGGATGGGAATAGTAGAACAGTAAGCTGCTGTAGTAGAGAACTAAAGTAATTTGGAGAGTGGCTATTTTACTATCACCTAAAAGAAACTGTCTTAAATTTCACCCAAAATTATTCTAATTTCATGTCATTTAAATTAACATGGCATGAAATCATGCAAACAAAAAAACCCACAAGATGTCAATGAACCCAAAATTAACTTGCAAAATAAACATTTCAATCAAGGATGATAAAACATTAAAGCCAGAGGAAAGCTGGCAATAGTCTATTCTGTAGAAACACTGTTTTGCATCTGTCAGTTGTTTTTGGAACTTGCTCATTTATGTCTATCTAAACCTATTTCTGTCTTTCAGACTGTGGCTCACTGCAAACGTTACGTGTGGAAGGAGTAGAGCATGGCGACAAGCTGGAAATGGAAATTAAAAGGAAAATTACTCTGGAGCTGCTTTCCATTAATTCATGTCTAGTGGCCTAAAACTGCTGTGAAGTCTAAAATAACTTCATGTTTCAAATATGATAGAAATGGGCTAGCTTTTTCTTTTCTCTGTAGTTTGGGAGATGGAGGGTTTGAAGGGCGGAGGAGGGGCTGAAGACATAAGTGACGACATGAAACTTGGTCATGTCTGATTTTTGTATTAATTTTCTGTATTGCTTGCTTGAAATGACAGATTAAACTTATTTCACACCCACCACTATAGATTTACTGACTGCAACCTTGTGAACAAATTACTGTTGTACTGGCTTGTCATTATTTTAGAAATTATGTGTGAATCTTCAACATTTTGTAGATGTTTTTATGAGCATATGGGGAGGGAATCTTCCAATGTTTGCACTCTTTGTAAATTTGTCTCCAATGCACAGAATCTTAAATCTGCTTTGAGCAACTGAGCTTCAAATTCAGTTGTGACTTTTATCAATTAAAATAATTTCCAAACCAAAATGGCTCTCATTGTCTTCATATCAACCTCAAGTCATCACACTTTACACATTTTTTAAAATATATTTACAAAGTTTGTACAGTCATGTTTAGTGGCATTTTGCTTACCAAAGCTAAGTATCTGTACATACATGATTTCAAACATACCAATTATCAAGTTTCACAGAAAGTCAAAGTGAAAACCATGTTCTGCCACAATAATTGAAGATGGGAGTACTGTCAGATGACTAGAAAATGCAAAGTCAACACATGTTAAACTGAAAATCTGCCAAATATACAAGTACTGATTAGGTTTAAACATTCTACCTTGCTGGTAGATAAATGACTCCTTGTGCTCAGTTCACTAACAATTTGCACACACTTAATACTAGAAGAAAACAAGAAGGGGATGGGTTCCTTGTCCTAAGGAGAAATTTTGGTACAAAATGTGCAAAAAGCCCCTTGTAAAGATGCCAGTCACAGCTGGTAATGGGTTGACGTCAAGGTCAGTCAACAAGATTAGCTTGCATATGCACTAGCTTCTGGAGTTATTTTCTTATGACCACTATATTTAGAAGAAGTTTCAAAGCCTGAGATCACATGGAAGAATAAGGCCTAATTGTTCTTCCAAATCCCCAATAAGCTGATTTAATTGATGAAATATTAGCACCATAGAAATGACAAATCAAGATAGCTTAAAATAAAAGCAATCTTCAGCAAAACTGTACTTGTGCTACACACTAAACACTGTGCAGCACATAGTTACATAAACCTATCATGTAATGTAATCTTTTTACATTGTTCATATTAAAATTCTAAAAGCGTTTCAGTTATTTCTTACCCCAAACTTTCATCTCCTCCATATCTTGTGTATAATTTCTGCAATATGTCAAATTGCACACATACTTCAGTTCTTGGAATTGGCAGTAATTACTGTAGGATTGAGACGACACTGGAAACCAGATGAGGTACAGAGGAATTGATATCTGGTAGCCCAGTGAAAATAAAGGCTGTAGTGTTTTCCTTAAGTACAAAGCTTTATAGCTTTGGTTCAGATATTATGCACAAGAAGAACAGAAAACGCAGATCCAACAGCCAGCCCCAGAGCGAGGAAGAAGGACATGACCACGCCTGTGGCTTCGGCCAGCTCCCGGGGAACCACCTTTGGTCCGTAGATCATCGGCAGGGTACCCAAGTATCCGTTAGAGAGACCCAGCAGGCAGTTGAAGACCACAGGGTAAACATCATGGGGAAACAGCACAGTATGGAGGTGGTCACGTGGCTGGTAGTTACAGAACATGAGAAGTGGCACCAGCACGGTGCGACACAGCACCAGCACCGGCAGGATCCGACTGGTGGGGCCAGGGTTCTGCACCCAGGCTGTCATCAGTCTGCCACTAAAGTCGGCAACGTTATAAAGGAGAAAACTGGTCAGAGGTACAAAATAAGTTGTTGCCCAGGGGCTGCCGCTGTCCGTGTTCATAGACTGGATTCCCGATGAGACGGAAGGGAATACTGAGATTGAGATGAAGAAGACGTAAAAGACGCAGAGGCCAAGCACCCCGGCCTTCTTAATTATGGGCTGCAGCGGAGGGACTCCGCCTGCTGGACTCGGCTCGTCACTGAGCGTCCCGGGACTGATGCAGGTCGCTGCCAGCATGTAGTGCCTGACAGAAAAAGATGCGTCAGCATTTGTTGAATTTATTAAATTTTTAAGCATGTTTGCTGTAAATGTAGCAAATGAAAAGGAAGAGAGTTTTTTTTCCCCAAAATGAAAGTGTGAAAGGAGAATTACTATTCTCACCTTGAATATGCATACTTTGGCAAAAGCAAAAACGCGATAATGCAGAGCAGGATAAAGACGTCTGCTGTCAGGAAATAGAACAGAGTGTTAGTGGTCACGTCCTCAGCCACAGCTAGGGTCACTATCGATGCTAGTGCAGTCAAGGTGCCCCCCATCGCCTGTCCTAGAACAAAACAAAAGAAAAATAAGTTTATGTACAAGGCAAGGAAGAAAATGGATGAAATGTGATACTTTGAATAAACTATGTCTTTTATTATTTATTAAATTCACAATTCCTATAACTTTAGGAATTGTTCAATTTTAGTATTTATGTAATGTTAGCCTTAGCCATTAAATTCAATATCTGAACTGCTGTGCAGAATAATCAATTAAACCATCATTAGATGAGCCACAGTTCAATCAATAAATGAAGCCTAAAATTGTAACTGAAGTCTCTCAGTAATGATTTAAAATAGTAAACACTTATTTAAATCTAATTCAATAAATGTCACTTATATACATTTAGTAGAAATCAAGATGTAACTCTTTATTTTACAAGAATATGGCGACATCTGCTGGCCAACCTTCATCTTTGCACGCACACGTTCTGAACTAAAACTGAGTACTTTATGGAAAGTGACCGTGTTTCAATTCTTAAAATTGCCACAATATTTACATTTTAAAGTATTACAATAACAACCACCACACTTTGTCAAACTGTTTGCATTTTCTATTTTTCTAAATGTCTGTTTTTGTGTCTACTTGTCTTGTTAATTATGACACATGCTGCTGCCTTTCTTGGCCAAGACACCTTGTGACAAAGGTCTTTGTCTCAATTGGCTTTTTATATGGCTAAATAAAGATTTACCATAATAAATACATATATAAATATATATAAATATGGACATAAATGTTACACAGGCAACTGAAAGCATCAGCAATCTAACCTGATATAAGGGCTTGAGAGATCCTCATTGGAAAATAGCCACTGATCCCAAACACGCTGCCACAGAAGATGTTGGAGGCTCCACTGACCACAGCAACACTGGTAAGTGTGCCAACGAAGAACTCCTTCCTGTATTCTGAGACGTCCACCTTCACCAGCGCCGTGGTCACCACGAACACCAACAGCATCAGGATGAGGGAGGACAGGATTCGAACCTTAGGAGACAATCTATAAGCAATCAAACAGAGGAGAGTTGCTACTGGGATAAAAAAAATGAAATGAACAGCACAGTAGAGACTCTGAGGCCTCTATGCTTCATCACCATTTTACAATGCTTAAAGATATTCACACTCATCAAGCTTCTTCATATTTTGTCACATTACAAACTTTAATGCGTCTTATGTGACAGTAGACCAATGCAAAATTAGACATGATTGTGAAGTTGAAGGAACATAATTTCATAACTCCTGACAAATCCACATTGGGCAGTCATGCAATGCTTCAGCCTTCCTGAATGGATTTCCTCCTTTCATCCTATTCAGCTCTGCAGAGGCTTAGCTCATTTGATTCAGGTGTGTTCAAAGCAAAGATGGATCCAAAATTTACAGCAATGCAGCTTTAGAGGACCTAAACCATTCAGTCGTAGTTCTGTCTCCATGTTTAGAGTTGTTATCCTGCTGAAAGACGAACCTCTACCTTATGGTTATTTTGTGTTTCTAACAGGTTTTCCTCCAGGATTAACCTTTATTTATTTCCACTCATCTTCAACTCCAAGCAGCTGGTCTTCATGAAGTTTGATGACTGATCTTCTCCAACAAACCTCTAACGTCTTCACATAACAGCTGAGAGATTCATCTCTTAATTACATGATTTCAGAAGGCAATAGGCTGCCCTGGATTTATTTAGGGGTTTCAGAGTAAGGGGGGCTGAATACAAATGCCATGGTTTCATTTCTTTCTGTAAAGAAAATTATAATTTCCTTACAACTTCACACTTCTGTGGAAAAGTACCATGTAAATGTTTTTGGAATGGACTGTAATCTGTGTGACATGTGTGTATAGCTTGTACTAGCCTTTTAACAAGAAAATAGTTGAGTACCAGGCACAGGACGGAAGGCACAGCTGAAGCAATGGACAGGTAACTTTCAAAGTAGTCCTGCGTAAAGAAGAAGAGAAAAAAAACCCTCTTCTTTAAGAACAACAAAGCACACAATCATGTTTTCAAATAAAATATGAGGAAGGGAATGGGAGAGAACAAGAAAATAACTATTTTATTGTTGTGTTTAAGTCAACTCAAAAATACTATTGCTGACACAATGAATTGGATTAATCACAATTAATCAATTATTGAAATAGCTGTAGCCCTTGTTGTATGTAAATTTCCCTTAACATTTCAAAGGGGATTTCTTTGAAATATGAAACAACACTTTGTCCAATCATCCTGTCACATGATATTCACACTGCGCATCAGAAACTTTCAGACCTTTAGCTGTACGTCATTGTCCCGCTACTCACAATGGAAGTGGAATGATCATTCTGGTCAGTGCTGTTGCTAAGCTTGTAGAGCCAGTACTGCTTTGCCGTTATGAAGAAGTTCCAGGGCAGCAGGGAGCCAATACCCATCAGAAAAAAGGTGACATACACCAGTTTGTACGAGTCCTCTGGATTGCAGCGCACAGCCAGAGGCGCTGAGGAAATCTTAGGAAGAAGGGCTGCAGAGGGACTGATGTCGTCACTCTCTTCATCCTCACTCAGGTTTTGTTGGTCATATAAAGGTGGAAGATAGGATGAGTTGACGCTGGGAAGCACAGGCTCTGTATGGTCCATCTTCACAGGCAGGATCCAGGGTACTCAGAGGGTGAAGACAAGGGAGAAAAGGGCAGGCTGAGGCAGGAAAGGAGAGAGAAGAAGAAAGTATTACTCAAGCCATTCTGAAGATGTTACTGCAGTAAGAATGAGATTTCAAGTAGAGCTGAAGAGTTCAAAATCCATTTAAAAATCTCACTCAGAAATTTCCCTATGTTGTTTTGTATTACCTTGCAAAAGTATTTATGCCTCTTTAACTTTTCCACATTTTGTCATATTACATCCACAAATGTAATTTATGATAGACCATCACAAATTAGCACAAAAAAAAAAAATCAACAACACATAGAGCCCAACTGCCTAATGAAGTAAAGCAGATAACTTTTCTACTGCAGTAACAGAAGAGTGGACAGGATGATAATAATCTTAAGAAAATCTACCACAGTTTGTACTTGTGAACCTGACTGTTTGTGTGTGTGTGTGTAAAAGTTCAAGAGAGCATAAATATTCAGATTTTAAATCATCTCAGTTTATTTATAGAAGAGCCAATTAAGAACCAATTCAAGTTGTAATAAAGGCTATTAGAAAAAATACTTTTAAGTGGCTCTGCATGGAAAACTATCAAGTATCAGCAATATCACCACCCCACTATTATTAGTTATCACTTCTGTTAAATCAGTGTGCCACTTCTCTCCCACAAACCTGTATCAGTCTCTCTCACTCTCTCTTTGGTAACGCGAGTCATGACCTGCCAATTTAATCGGAGTCAAATCCTCCATCAGACAAACATTTCTCCCAACCCGTGTTTGTCAGGCATGTGATTGTTTGACTCATTACTCCGACTTCAAAAAAAAAACTTTAATTTCATCACACCTCTTCAGTGTTTCTGCAAAATGCTGACAGGATGCTCCTGCAGGACCAGAATGCAGCAGAAATTCGTCAGAAAATTAATTAAACAGGTTTTTTCTGAAATGTGATGAAAGCTTAGACTATTTTTAGACTAAAGTAAAAGCTGATCTTGCAATTTAGGGGTGAAAAAGAGGAACTAAAATTCACATGATGCTGATATCATACAAACTATTAGTCAAAGATCATATAACAGCACTATATTTTCTTACAGAAAATATGATATCACCGAGTACTTTCTCTTGTTTATGTTCCAGAACCCTGTTTTAATTTGCTGAATTTGACAAAGTTTCAATTTGTGTGGTGGGGATAATTGAAAAGGGTAAACATTAAAAGCTACAAACAAAGCTAGCTAACCCGAACCTTGCTAAACGTTGTCACCAGTAAATAAACTGTATTTCGAGACGTACCTCATCCCTGAAGAGTCCGGAGATTAAACTTGAAGGTCTTCTCTGCAAACAAAACTTCATTTGGCAGCAAAGTTCTTTCCTGGTCAGCTGACTTACTTTCCAACCGATTTTCGAGCTGGGATTTTTAACAGCTGCAATCATTAGCACAACTCCACTTCCGGTTTTAAGAGTTAGAAAACAAAACTAAGAAATACAATACAAAACCCCCCCAAAAAACTTTAAAATAACAAAATGTATTCGCAGAACTGTTTGAATTGTATGGGAAAACATCATATGAAAATATTTAAATATGGACTTATTTTAATTTTTAAGTGCGCCGTAAAAGTAAAATCTAATGCTTTTATTGTGAAAAGCAACAGCGTTTTACAATGAAAGTACAAATTTAGTTTAGTTAAATTTTGGATCTGTATTTCAGTACTGCACTAAAAAGAGATGTTCAAATTCAGTAATTCAATTCAAAGAGTGAAACTCATATGTTATAACAAAAAGTAATATATTAAAATTATTTTAATGATTATATCTTTCATTAGCTTTTCAGAAATTGTGATACTCTTGATAAGGTAATTTTAAAGAAGTAGGCAGCAGATTATTTGGGAAGATTGTGAATCAGTCACAAGACGGTACTGCAACTACCCATCTGGGTCACAGGCAGACATATTTTTCAGGTTTAACAAGTATTACCCGTGTAGTTGGACCTGGTGGCCCCACCTGTGTCATCAGTTGTGAAACATACTTTGATAATCCAAGTTTGTCTACATGGGGCCCACAATTACAGGTTAATTCTGAATGATTGTGCCAAATCCAGGGAACAAAAACCCAAATGGGTCGTATATATTTCTCATTTTGAACCAATTGAAACAATTCTAAAGGGCAAGTTTGATGTGTCATCTGCTGGTCAGTCCACTGTGTTTTATCTGGTCAAAAGTCAATTCTGTGGGTTATTAAGAGATTATAGAAAACTTCCTTCCACCTTGTACTGAGAACCTTAATGATGTTGAATTTATTTTACAGTAGGACTTGGTACCAACCCACACAGTCAAAGGTAGACCTACCAACACTTTCATTGGAGAGCAATTTACCCAATATAACCCGAAAGAGATTCTGTGGAGAATTTTCGAGAGAGACCTAAGTGAAAGCAGTCTCTACAATCAGATGACCCAGATTGCTTTTAAAGCAACCTGGGTTTCCACTACACTTCAGCAGAACCACTGGCTGATCTCCTTCATCCCATGTGGCATTGATTTATGCAAAGGACTTACTTTTCACCGGATTGACATTTCTCTGTCATAAATTCTTTTATTATTGTTCTGATGAAATATTCAAATTTTCTGAGAAACAGATTTTTTTGTGTTTATTAGTGTGAGAGACACAGCTGTCTAACTCTGTTAGGATTCCAGTAGGCCATATGGACCAGAAGATGGCGCTGTAAGACAGTTTGTCCATTCATTCTACTCCTATCAGAAGAAACCAGGCTGGATGTTTCAGGCACACAAGTTACAAGTGATGGCCTGCTTTGCTGCTGGAAAAGGAAAATCTGTAGACTCCTCTCTTCTGATGAAAATTATGGAAATAAGACCAAATCTGTCAAAATTTAAAAAGGAGAGTGTTAAAATTGTATCTTTTCTAAATTATTAACAGGGAACATCATTATATGTACCCTGAATTCCAGCTGGAAGAATTGTGAGAAATGTTGCTTATGGGTTTCGAATAAAAGCAGTCATCCTGAGGAGAAGTTTGAGTTTCCATGTTTGATGAATTCTGTGTTCAGATTCTTTTATTATTTTAGGGATTTTTTTTGTGATTATTTCTTAAACCTTCTTTGTGTTTAGATATTTCTCTTTGTTTTCTGTGTAGTCAGCCTCCTATCATTCTTTTTATTTGCATTATTTAATAGCCAATGTTTAGTGTTTACACCTCCTCAGTTCATTCATTCAAAGTTAGATTGATTTGTGTGTTTCTCGTTTAATGGCCAGACAAAATTTCTCCACTGTAAAGTAAAAATCTCATTGCCAGAGTTTTTCACATAGGCTCAGGTTGGTTTGGATGTATTTTGTCCCCTTTAAGAAATTAAATAATCATTTGTCTTTACTTATCTTTGCCTGATATTTTTTAATGATTTAAAATATAGTTTTGATACAAAGAAGAAATCTTTAAGCAGGCGAATACATTTTTACAGTAGCATACATGAAGCATTTTTGTAACTCTGTATTTTCACTTAAAATGATTAAGTTGTGTGAAGAATAAAGATCCGCTTCATTTGTACATTGTCTGTCAAGTCAGTTCCCAGTTAGCAGTGCAATAATTAATACAACAGGTGCCAAGTGTTGCTAGGCTTTGAGGCCACATCCAGGTGCACAATCAGTAAAAATGGGATATTTATTTCTGACAAAATGGAATAATCCAACAATTCCTCACACAGGCTGCAGTCATAAAAGGACTGAAGTTAGAACCATTGATGTAAATGCCCAAGTCATTCCTTGAAGGGCACTATTAGTGCCTCCAAGTTAATGTGAGGACCCGTCGGCCTGCCTGTTAAAAGCCTTCGAAGCCAAATGGACCTAAAGGGAATTTGTCGGTGATGTGTGAAGCAAAGTGGTGCAGGTTGAACTCCTTCACATTTTCAGTTAAAATTGGCTGTAATTGACACACAGATGCTATTTAGGAGTCATTTTGTCCAATAGAACCACATGAGAAGCATTCAAAGGGATTTTTCTAATGCATTATTTGACTTCAGAACAGTGAGATATCATGGAATTAAAGAAAAAAAAGGACAAAACACATATCCATGTTAATCTAAGAAATATAATTTATTGCATAAAAATTATATTTAGTTACAAGTAAGAAGGCTAGACAGGTATTTACAATTGGTACTTCACAGAGACAAAATAATGTCACTGAACCCATTTAGAGTTTCTGTAAAAATGTCTGAATATTTGAACAAAGGCAGAGTTTGTCTCCTTCAAGTGAGCCGACCAATCACGTTCAGCTTTAGCAACTCCAGCGATTATGGCCAACAATCCAGCAGACACAGAGAGATCTGTACGCAAAAAAACACTGTATAGTCATCAGCAAGGAGGTTTCTGCAACAAGAGTGGCAAAAAGTGAAACATCCCGTGGTGCTCACTGAACCAACTACAGTCTGGTAAAGACCTCCAGGGCATGGCCTCCCCATGTAAGCCATGTCTCGTCCTGAGCCCGTTGCACCACTCTGTTTTTTGTTTTTCATCATTTATGGCATCCTCGGTGAGGTGAGTGATCCAACTCTTCCAGTCCAGATGAGAAATCTTTGAGCAAGATTAGCATCTTTTCCCACCCTCCAGCCCCCTTCCTCAAAAAGAAGAAAACTAAATCACCATTAGACCACTTCAGGATACAAAAATCAAAAACCCCTATGAATGCTGTGGTCTGTAAAAATAGAAATACTCTTGGAGGAAACAAAAGAAGTTGGAAATGCTTCACTTTTCCTTTGTACTTGCATAGCACTTACAGAGAGAAATGACAACTCCACATGATGTATCCATTTTTTTTTTGTTTGTGAACACCAATCTGCCCCCACAAATGCATTTACTCACATACGTTCACTTCATTCACACAAAACAGTTGCATGACTCACAGCTGAAGAGGAGGGATACTGGCGCTGTTTTGGTTTCTGTCTTTTTAGAACTATAAACACTTGCTTCTCCTTTCTTGGAGACACAAAACAGAAAGGCAAAAAGTAAATCTGTGGAGGATGAAATTTCATTTTCTCATCTAACAATAACTGATCGATCAATAATGATAATACAAATGGCTCGAGGAGCTTAACCACAGAGAAGCAGCTCAGGAGAAAGATCGTCAATAAGCCATCACTGTGAGATAAAGGAGGATAGAATGTCTTACAAGACATAATTAAGCTTGTGTTGCAGTAAATTAACATATATGGTCCCTTGCTGCCAAATTGATTTCAGGTAAGGCTAATTTATTCTATAATCGTCTCTTTTTCAGTCGCAGCAAAGCAGGGGTCCTATATATTATGATGCCTCGCAAAAGTACCCATCCACCTTGAACAATCTCCAATTTTGTCATGTAAAAACAATAGACATCAGTATATTGTATTGGGAATTATGTGTTATAGACATTATTGTGAAGAATAACAAAAAGGATATACAATTTTCAAAGGTTTTTATAAATTGTTTGGAGGGATGTCTCGATCAGCTCTGCACATCTACAAACTGGAATATTTGCCCACTCTTCTGTGCAAAATAGCTAAAGCCGAGTTAGGTTAAACAGAGAGCATCTGTGAAAACCTCTTTTAAAATCTTTGGATTTGGGTATGGACTTTGACTGGGCCAGTCTAACACACAAGTAAGTTTTAACTCTAAACCAGCTCTGGTGTTATGTTCAGGGTTAGTTGCTGACAGATCCATCTTCCAATCCAGTCTGACCAGTTTTCTGGCCATGCTGAAGAAAATCATCCCCATAGAATGGTGCTGCCACCACCATATTCTATCATGGGGATGGCGGGATGTGCAACATTAATTTTCTGCCACACAACTTTCCATATTTTACCAAAATAATCTCATTGTACTTGTTTGCTACATGGTTTGTAACAAATCTTTAATAAAATTTTTCATAAGTTTCTATCAAAAATGCCTTTCAGTTGTTCCTCATCCATAAAATGTGGTTTTCTGTGAACTTATTGTTCCACCTGGGGAAAAGATTTGTGCAGCTCCTCTTAAGTTAACATGGGCATGTTGGCTGGCCTCCCAGTTAGTTAGAAAGCCAAATTTCGGTTGACTTGAACAATGTGCTGGATTTTATTGAGGAGAATCAGAGTAAAGAGGGTTGAGCACAGATGCATGGTACATTTTTACAAATTTTTGTGTGTTAAAACTTTTGAAAACAATCAAATGTGGAAAAAATTTGATGGGTGTCAATACTTTTGCAAGGCACTGGAAATGTCAACATTTTGAATCGGTGCACAAAATAAAAAATATTATTGTTTTTTTTCTACCAGTAATCATCTATTCACTTCGCTGTAGAACGAAAATACAATAATCAAGAGCAGCTCAGTAGCCTAAAGAAGCACAAATGGTAAAACAGGTCCTATATGATAACTCTGTCAGTAAGAATGAAAAAAAAAAAAAATTAAATCCA